CAGTCCCTGTCACCGACTACTTTTTTGGTCCAACTAAAAAAACCTCGGTTGTTTTTACGTAAAATTTCAAATTAGAATTTTATAAACAGAATAATAAATGCTGAGAGAATATTTCGATACGAATTGATTTGAAATTAATTAAGATTGAATATAACTTTGAATTAAGGTTGAATATGACTTTGGAATAATTAATAAATAAGAGGGTTGTTAGTTAAAAAAGAGAAGGTTAAATCTCCGATTTAATCCCTCAACTTTTATTTTTGAATTAAAATTACCCTCAAACTTTAAAAAGTACTAAAAAAATCCCTTAACTTCAATTTTTGGAACCATTTTAGTCCTTCCGTTGACGGAAGTGCCAAATGTCATGTTAAGTTGCCACGAAATCAATTTTGGTTGAAAATCTTAATGACCTGTAAAATAAAACAATATCTTTTTTGCCACCGTGGCATTTTTCCATTTCCACATCAGTAATGAAATTTTACATACATTTTTCACTCAATTTTCCTTCACTTTCCTACAAACCACAACAAAAATTCATTCCATCCAAACTAAATTCAAATCTCAAGGCTTCGAACCATCAAATCTTCTACAAAACCACCAAATTCAAGCTACAAAAAACACTAATATGGAAAAAACTCATTGCTTTGCATCACCAAATTCAGAACAAAACCTTCAAATTCATCTCTAACCCGCACATCAATTAAGGACTTCATCTCTAACCCGCGCTTGGGTTCCATCGAACCCAGGGCCTGGGTTCGATGAACCCGCGCCTAGGTTCCATCGAACCCAGGCGTGCTGGGCTGGGTTCCTCGACTGCGCCTGGGTTCCATCAAACCCAGGCGTGCTGGGCTCGAAGGAACTCAGCACGCCTGGTTCCTCGACCCGCACCTGGGTTCCTTCGAACCCAGTAGGGAAGGGAAGGAGAAAAGGAAAGAGAAGGAGAAAAAAAAGAGGAAAGGAAAGAAAAAAAGAAAGAAAGAAAAATTTTATTTATTAAATTATATTTTTTGTGCCAAGTCACAATATTTTTATAATTAAAAATGTCACATCACTTGTTTTATTTCTAAGTAATATTTAATATTAATAAAAATTGAATTTATTAACGGGAAATTTTGCCATGTTAGCACTTAACTGACGGAAGGACTAAAATGGTTCCAAAAATTGGAGTTAAGGGATTTTTTTAGTACTTTTTTAAGTTTGAGGGTAATTTTAGTTCAAAAATGAAAGTTGAGGGACTGAATCGGGGATTTAACCAAAAAAAAATCAACTAGTCCCCAGTCAATTAAGGCGCGCATTTGGGCCCCTTGGCCTGAACCATTTGACGAAGTCTATACATCAACATCATTGACAGTGAGGCATTTAGGGTGATAGAACTCCCATGGAGAGACAGAGGTCAGTTATTATAAATTGGTTAAATGCTAAATTTGGTCCCTCAATTTTACGAAATGAACATTTTTGATCTCTCAACAAATTTTTACACTTTTTTAATCCCTCAACTATACGAATTGCACTCAACTATACGAATTGCACTCCGTTATAATTGCACTCCGTTAGTCCTTCTGTTAATTTAGACCGTTAACTCACTTACGTGGCATTTTTTATAATTTTTTTTGCTGACATGGCAAAAATAAATTAAAAACATGTCCCCTTAAAATTTTTTTTATTTAATTTCTAATTAAATCACAAATTTCTAATTAAATAACAAATTTCCTCATCAAATTTTCTCTGCAAATTTTCTTCATAAACATTACAATTTTCTCACCAACCAAACATCTATTCCACGAC